GCGCACACACAAATTGCAGTTGTAAAAGATGGCTGAATCTTGTTTGTAAGAGGGGAGAAAAGAGAACCTTACACATTTTGAGCATAGTCTTTCTTAGCAGGAAAATGTAGCTCTTACACTTGCAACAGAAGACGATGCTTTCCCAATGTGAGGCATGAATTTCAGTGCCAGAGTTTTAAAGATAATCCACACGGACGAATTAGTGTCAGCTGATCTTCAGTAATTGTCAGTGGGATGACTAAAATGTGATTTGACCTGGTTCAGTCTGTTACTGCTCATGTAACCTTCAGTGCTGGCCCCTTAGAGGCACATAGTATGCATGTGATTCTCACAGGAGCTGGGAGATGTGTGGTACAGATCCAAAAGTATGGTGTGGATCATACTTGGATGCGTTTGGATAAGAGATCCAAGGGTATGACACTGTGCAAGAGTTGATTACAAGAGGCATAAGAATGTAGTGCGTTGTGTCTCTAGAAGCAGCCTCTCCTGGTGTGTAATCTCTTTCCCAAATAAAGATTAAGGGTTTCAGGGGAAGACAGATTTCTTTTTGCTTGTCATACCAGAAGTTGTGTTTAGTCCTTGGGAAGAAATGCAAATTAATTATGTGCTTGAGGTTTGAAGATTTCTTCATGTGGTGTCTGTTAAAAAGGAGCCCCGGGATGTGGCACAGAGTCCATGTGTCTTGTTTTCAATTACTGAGTGCTGTGGAGGGGACATGCACACAAAGACATAACAAGTTATTAAGAATTGCTTTGGATGACTGTTTGGGTATAACCATGTATAGGTCTTGGGCTCTTTGTAATTTCTTTTATATTTTGATCCACCTGGTTAAACATGGACAGTGTATTTCCCCTGTAAAGTCAGAATGTACCCTAGTTGTGTTTAAAGTAGCTGCCCTGTCTAATTATGGCAACAGATCCAGAACTACTTTGTCCCTTGAACGTGGAATGAATTTAAGGAAATAAACTTTAAGATTGAAAGGTATTATTTCTTGTGGAGTGGAGGATGTCAGAAATCCTTAGTCTTCACAGGTGGGTACATTGTCTGCACAGTGTGTTGACTGTCTCCCCAAGTAAAACCTGGAAAAGGTTCATTCATTTGAGCTCCAGTGAAAAACTTGCAGAGAACTTGGGGATCTGAGGAATACAGCTCATCCTAGATTTGTTGTATTTGCAGCATCCTTTTGTCAGCTGTTATTGTAGAGATGGGTGATGGCTTTAATGACTGCTTTTTGGTTGGAAACAACTTGCAATATAATTTGGATTTAACATTGTATTCCAGTGTTGCCTGTAATACTGACACACACAGTTTCTGTGGGAAAGATGGAATTAACAGAATATAGGCTCTTTTAAGTTTTTGTTTTTACTGAAGGTATCGTTGTAGTTTTGTGTATTGTGTTCTTTTGTGACTATTTTATATATGTGACTACTTAATAGTGCCCTATTTCAGTATGACTACCTGTGCTTTTTAATAAGTGGTTAGAAATGGAATTGATAGATGATTATATGCAGTGTGACATTAAGGTGTGGTTAAAAAAAAAAAAAGAAAAGACATGGTGACGAACTTGAACCCTAAAACCAAGTTTCTACTGAAACCTGAGAGCTACTCTGCTGTAAGCAACTGGGGAGGACAGTGCTGATGGATCCAGTGGCAGGAGGTTAATGCTGAGTTCCAGTGTGGTCCTCAGGTTGATGCCTGAAGCAGCTGGAACAGAGGCTAGACAGAGTTAAGGGGGATGAAGTGGATATTTACTGAAGAGCCTTCAGAGGCCACACCCTGGCAGCACCAGAGCCACAGCCATGGCTCTGCCTGGATGGCTCCAAGGTGGAAGCAGAAGAGGGCTTGGTCACAAGAGCTCACATTTTTATAAATTTTGGTCCATTAGCATATTGGACAAATTGTCCAATTACAGCTTTAGCCCATGAAGTCCCATCCTTCTTGTTTTTCTCTCTTCAGTCCACATTGTTTATACTCTTGGACCTAAGATCCGGATCGGCTGTCCTTGGGTCCAGGCTGGAGAAGGAATTGTTGTGTCTACCTGCTCTGTGAAGAGAGCTTGCTATCCCCTCATATAAAACCCAGACCTACACCTTACCATCCCCTAATATGAAACCCAGACCCACCCACCAAAACAGCACAAAATCAGAAAAAAAAGAAAAAATAAAAAGCTAAAACCCAAGGTATGAAGGTGAGTGTGGAGAAGCATTTTCAGTGCAGCAAGAAGGATTTACTGCTGTTACCTACAGCTGTAAAATCTTACCTGGAGTGCTGCATACAAGCCCAGCCACTCATAGTTGAGAAACATGAACTGAAACTACAGCAAATACAAACAAGGCTGGATGGTTTCTTTTCGTAATATAAAAATATCCTGAAACAAACAGCAGTATGAGGAATAGGAGCCCAGGGCTGCAGTGCTGACAGGACAGTGGAGCCTATTCTTCAGCTATCATAGGCAACACATTCCTTTTCCCCAGCTTAACTGAGTTCTACTCTAAAAATAGTTGGGATGCTGATTTGAGCTGTTTCCTTTAGAAAGCTATTCAGAATGCATGGTTAGAAACAGTTCAGGATCAGAGGTTTCACTGAGTGTAAATTGAGACTGCAGTGATGTTTCTGAGTTTGCTGTTTAACTTGTTTTGGTCAGTAATGAAGGACTTAATCTGAGTTCTTTTTTGAGATCATAAAGCTTTCACTTAATAGAATTTATTTATTTTCTTGCCAACAATTTCAAAATTTTGTGAATTTTCAGTAATAAACACTTTTATAAAACATTTACAAAGTTGTTCTCAAATCTGACAGAAGTAGAGGGGGAATTACACCAGGATGTAGAGTTACCCCTTATTGCTGGGTTGCAAAGTAGCTGTTATCTAAAACCAGAAATCCACCCACCATTTGACAGTTTGTGTTACTGGACAGCTTTCGTCTGCTCTGCCCTCAAAATACCTCAGTTATCTCAGTGGTACCTTGTAAGTACAGATGCACATTTTCATTGTAACCTTGCTATCACAGATAGAATAAAGGTCAGCTCTTCTATTTGAAGGTGTAAACAAGACTGCAGTAATTTTTATTCTTGTTTTAAATAGAATTAAACAAAAAATGAGCTTAACTCTATTTTTCTTTTACACAGGTTACACTGTGTTATTTGCCTCTGACAGATTTATAAAGAATTCACTTACCCTGTATATGTGATACCTGATTTTCAAAAGTGGGTGCCTAAAATTAGATGTCTCTGGCTGTAGCCTTGGTCTAGTTTTCAGAGGAACTGGAAGCTTAGAGAAGGATTCTCTTTCAGCACTGGCAATGCGTTTTCCAATACTGACAGGATGAGCTGTGTCAGTGTACTCTGAAAAACCAAGGCTGTTCTCAGTTTGTTTTGTTCTTCCTGTTTCAAAAATATACAACCTTTTTTTTTTTCTATTAAATCTTAATAACGTTCTTTAGAATTACTTACTTAAAGGACTGAATTCTTTATCAAAACCATTTCTTCTTTGAGGCATCCTTAAGAAAGTTGGAGTAGTAAGCTCTATTCAGAGTAAAGACTGGAATTCAGAGATCTAGTTATGAAACCTCGTTTTTACAGTGCCTGTATTTTGGGTGTTGCTGCTGTGTTTCCTGCACAGAGAATGAGCTGGGTTGCCACTTTCAGACTTACAGCACTGTTGTCCCAGGGAGGGACCTGGAAGTCACCCAAATGTCATACTCAGATACTTGGCTCTGCTTGGTTTTTTAAAATGTGAAATGTGTGACTACACCAGAAAAATAACACTTTCAGTTTATATTTATCAGTATTTATTAGAAAGTCTATCTTTCATGCATAATACATTATTCTCCACTTGATTTGCTGTTTTGGATGCAGTATTGTTATTTAGATGCAGATTTATCAGAGCTATGATCACTACCTTCACTTTCATTTTCCCTTTCTCATAGGGTAGCCTTTCTGCTCTTGATCTTTTTAAGACAGTGAGTCTTAAAAGCAACAAATCTACAAATAATAGCTTAAAGAAATAAGTCAGTTTTGCCCAGTGGAGTAAATTTCCAGAACAGAATGGCATACTTGATTCTTGTTGCATTTCTGACTGACTCATGTGTTTAATAGGCATAGGCATCCAGGATTAAGGAAGCAGTGTTGAGCCACTGATGCCTCATTCAGGAGCAAGTAAAATGTGTGGGGTTTGTTTTTGTGTTTTGGTTTTTTTTTTTTTTTGTTTTTTTTTTACCCCACAAAGGCTTGGAGGGTTAAAACTTTCCTGCTGTTCATTTCCTTTCCTATAATATTTCCAGCATGTTTTTAGGTGTTTTGGTCTTATTGTATTGTAATGGTAGTGCTAAATCTTATAAACAATTTGGTCCAAGGCAGTGTGGGCTGAAGGTGCATCTGGCCTAAATAAACCACCAACCTGTGAGAAGGGAAGTTGTGCCCTTGGCTTCTGACTGTGAAGGAAACATCATGTTTGATGAGCTCATGCTTGGACATCCACTGTAGGCACGAGTCTTTGTGTTGTCACCTGGAATTTGATTCTAGACAGGATGCAAATAGTAAACATGTTTGTTTCTTTCCACATGTGCTGACAGCATAGTCCAAAATAGATCCTCAAGAGCCCATTATATAAAATACAATTTACCCTTAGGGTAGGTTTGAAGGGGATACAAAGCCTGATAACTTACAAATCAAGTGGGGATTCAAACTTCAAAAATCAGCCCATCCCATCCTACTCCACTCACCCCTTCCTCAAACAAAAAAATCACACTGTGAATAAGTGTTTTCTCATAATTTTAGAGTAAAACTTGCTGACCATATAGTTGATACAGTACCTATTGCTCTAATCACGCTGTTTCAATGGGTTTAACTTTTGTTAATAAGATATAAAGCATAACAGTCTTGAAATTTACATAAAATATGCTGATATTGATCTGAATTCAATTTTAAATTGTTTAGACTAGATTTACTGATTATTATAATCCAGGCATTTCTTCATGACCTAATGCAATTTCTTTTGCAGATCTGTTTTCTCCTGTTTGCTGTTCTCTACATCGTTTCCTACTTTATAATCACAAGATACAAAAGGAAAGCAGGTAAGAATAGAATTTTTAATATGTAAAAAAAAAAATGTTTTTCAAATAAATAATTATTCTTTTCCTGTCCATCTCCACAAGGAAAGTGGAAGAAACAGAACTTTTTGTTAGGCTCCTGGTCTATGGCAGCCTGGATTGACCTGGTTGTGTATGGCAGCCTACATGTTAATTGTTTTGAGATGGAAGAAAGGGGTTAATGTCGAAGTAGGTGCTTCTGCCTGCCTTGCCTTGAGATCCTGTTGTTCTCCTTTCACATCAGCTTTTCTAGAATAAGTAACTTCTGCTGTGTTTTAGCAGCAAAATCAGGTTCTGAGCTTTTGCTAGTAAAGTGAAAGGTTGCCAGTGCTACAGAAGGGAAGTAGCATTATTTCTTCAAAAAGTTCTGCTCTGATCAGGTACAATTATTATTTCAGTTGTATTAAGCTCTTTGACTTCACCACTGAAGTTTATAAAATACCTTGAGATAATATTCTAGTTTTTTTCCCTTTGGGAACACTGTCTAGTTTCCATTCTAAAACTAGTCTGTAGGAAGCCCTGTCTTGACTTTTGACAGCTTATCTGGAACCTTGGTGCTTGATAATAGTCAGGCTTTAGAAACATTGTTGTGCATGGTGATCTTGGTGCTTTGAACTTTATTGGAAACTGTTTATTGAGTGACCTGTGTTGTGATAGAGCTGCTGTCATGGATGGATTTGTGTTTTAAAAAGTAAACTTCTTGTGGAATTTAATTCTTTGGAAAAAAGGTACATCTCTGTAAACATACGAAAGAAGACAGACACTGTCTTCTGATCCTGATATGTATTTTGGATATCAAAACGCTGCTGCCATTTGGAGATGGAAAGAACAGGAAGGGGAAGCTGGTTTGGCAAACACTGTTGGATGCAAAGACACTTTTATTACCTTTTGTTGGCAGTTATCTCCTCAGCTGGGAAGAGGAACTGCTCTGCAGCTGCCCTGACTTTATGAAAGCTTTGTGTGTGCTTAGGCACACTTTGTAGCCTGCTATGATCTCCCTGATGAGAAACACTTGAAGTGTTAACACAACTGCAACTCTTTCAGGACAAATTGTTCACTGCTTTTGCAAGAAGCTTTTTAGCCAAAATGATTCATAAGAGACCTTTACTTAGTGTTTCAAAACACCATGAGGTATCCATCAAAAAACCAACAACTCCAGGTTCTTTCACAGAAGAATTTCAAAATAGCATGAGGTTATTGGCTGTGTGTTTATTTCAACTGTGTGCATGACTCTTAAGAACTTAAATTTATTTTAAAATTTAAGAATAAATAAAGTCAGGTGTTCTCCTATGGAAAATAGGAAGACTTTTAGAATGCTGAGTGTAAAATTATTTCAAATTCAGAAATTTTATTTCAAAATGCCTGCATTATTTCAAATTTAGACATGCTTACATTTGTGTACTGATGGGCATAGTAAAGAATAAGTGAAGGATGTGTTAGTGATTCATCTGAGTTAAAAGTTGATATTGTTTGAAAAAGATTGTTTTAGTGAAGTATTAAATGAGTAAGTGAATAAAAATGGTCTAAAGTGTGAAGTATCAGAAGGAAGTAATGGCATCTTAAATGCAAAACAAATAACAAGAATATAACCACCTCTCCTTCCTCCCCTCCCCCAAATCCCCAGGAGCTGGGAAGAGGGGTAAGTAAAGGGAAGCAACTGAGTAGTCATCAATATGGTTCTGGGTGTGCTTTCTTGTTTTTAAAAGACTGCAAATGATTTCTAACAGCAGTTGGAATGGACTGTTAGGCTTTCCTGTAGCTTGTCTCCTCTCTGTGGATGAGGAGATGCCCAAAGGGGCAGCTTCTAGCAGTAGCTGTGGCTGTAGTAGTCTGAAAGCATGTTTGCCTCTGGAAGAGGTCTTCAAGAGGTTTTGATCTGCATATTTAAGTACAGTGAAATAACTTTGTTGTTACATTGATTAAAAAGAGTTTGACTAGTGAAAAAACGGGGTGAGAGTATTCATTTTTGGAAGGAACCTTCTTAAAATATTGATGCTCATGAATAGTATTAGTACATCTGAATTTTAATTGTAAATTAAAATGATTCCTATCTATGTACATTTCAGCCTGAAGAAAAACAAATGAGTGTTGAATATAACCTGATGTAATTTAATTTTCAGATGAGCAAGAGGATGAAGATGCCATCGTTAACAGAATATCGTATGTATAGCTCTTCTTGGCAGAACTTCTTCTCCTGAATGTATTGTTATGATAGGAATCTTCTGTGCTTCCAAATAAATAACAATCCCTTTGAAATATTTAGATGTATTTTAAATAGACTGGTAGAGGTTCAGGGAAAAAGATTTGGTGTAGTGGCACCTTGAGTTATGAAAAGTGTTGTGGAAGTTTGGTCTAGGCTTTTTTCACCTGTAGTTCTGCTGGTAAGTATGATGTTGGCCAGAACATTGCAAGAGGTGGAATTGAGTGCAAGACCTGCATTTAGGTCTCCAAATGTTGGTGTTTGGATGGGGAGGTGTTTTAAGTGGCCACAGCAGTCGATGGAAGGGAGGCAGTGGATCCTGTGAAGCAAGTTAGCTCTCTCTGAAGAAGGTATCTTTGATCAGTGTACAAAAGCTGCAGGAAGGTGACAAGTGGAAGACAAGCACTTGCCAGACATACTGGACTGCCAGCAGCTCTCTCCTTATCCTCTTGCTGTGTGAAGTTAGATATGAGTATCTCCTATTTGAGTATGCCTCAGGATGTGCAGAGCTGCCGTGGCTGTTGCTGCCCTCTCAATTACATCATTGGCTGAGCCATGCATTGGCTCCTTCTCTGTTCCAGTGCTCTTGGCTTCCCTGGTGCTGCTGGCATCCCCTTGGAAGGAGAGCTTGGAGAAAAGTGTTGTTGTAAATAGAAAATGTTCTTTTTTCCTTTCAGCCTAAGCTTCTTTAAATGTGCATGCTATTTTCCTAAAAGCAATAACTCTCAAACAGATGTAAATAGATTTTTCTTCACATGGCATAATTGTCAGGATTTGAGGTGTGGAGGGATGAGAAAACAAGGGCAAAGGGCTGTAGCACTTTGCTGTAGTTTGTTAGGTTTCCCACTTCTGGCTTAGAGTACTTAAACATCCTTAAATGGAAGAAAAAAATCTCAGAAGCCAACAACAACAACATAACAATATTTTTAATGTTAAAGTTACTTACTCATACTTTCTTTTCAAAGTATTGTATGAATGAAAAATGGATTTGTAGACTATTAAGGAAAAGCTTACAGATGCTGCTGTTGTAGGGATGTTCTGTTTATTTTGTCATGCAGTTTTGCATTGAGAATTATTTCTAGTTTTGTTATAGCATTAGATGAGTTCTATAAGAAAGTTTTGTTGATCTTACTTTTTTTAAGGACACAGTTCTTTTTAATGCCACAAGATGGCATTTGGTGTAAGTTGTATTTGGGATCTAAAAAGAATAAGCTTAAATATTTGAAACATTTGTGACAATTTCTGTATATTGACTTTACATCTATGAGATGAGAACTTGAATAACTCCTTTTTGGAAAAAAACTTTTTATTTTAGTTTGGTGTTCAAATATTTATGTATGATTGTAGTGACTCTTTAGTTGTTAGAATGTTGCTCTGCTTTTAAAAATTGTGCTAAGAATGTAGAAACTGAATATTTTTTTATTGTGTATGTGTCTGTGTGGGAAATTAAAACTGACAGAGGAAACTTGTGAAAAGATATTTAATGAACTCCAGTAGTTTAACCTTTGTATTAGATGGAATTGAATGCATGCACGTGCCAAATGAGTAATCACGGTAGTTGGTAAAAAGAAATTATTTGTATTGGGTTCTGTAAGCTATTTTAAATTTGCTTTTTAAAAGTCAAATGTTTTGGAAATCCCAGTTTCTCCTGCCCATTTATAATATAAGAATGTATTGCCTTTAGACACTGATTACCAGGTAGTTTAATTACTTTTTTCTCTGCTGTTCAGAGCATGTTGGTGGTAACAGTGGTACATTTCTTTAAATTTCAGGCTGTTCTTGAGCACCTTCACTCTAGCAGTTTCAGCTGGTGCAGTCCTGCTTCTACCTTTCTCAATAATCAGCAATGAGATCCTGCTTTCTTTTCCACAAAACTACTATATTCAGTGGTTAAATGGCTCACTAATTCATGGTTAGTACTCAGCATAATTTAATTAAAATCAATGTCTTCGTTATATGTGCACAGATATGTCCTTATTTTCAAACTGATAACTCATTTTCATTTAATATGCTAATTGTTAATGTGCTGTTGGCTAGTTGGTTTTGCTGCTGTGTGAAATATCACAAAAGTCTGTCTTAACTGTTCTGTTCTTTTTTTAAAGAATTATGCAGGCTTGACGGAATTAAACCGAATTCACTGCTTTGAATATTAATGTAAATAAGAGCTACTAGAAGCTAACTTGAAACATGCTGTTCACACTTCTTCATGTTAATGCAAGATTCATATGCCTTTCTCTTTATGGTGATTCCTATAAATTTATTCTCAAAATAAAAACATGTTTTATGAAACTTGCTAGCTGTGGGCAGCTCAGACGAGATAGTTAACATCAGCTGTTGGTGATTTATGTGCAAACAAGGAAAATTGTGGAATATAAGTATCGTGATAAAGATGTGCAATAAAATAACTGATGAAAACAGAACATTCTTTTCTAGGTTTGTCTCCAGAAAGTATGTTCACTGTATGAAAATATTTAATCTGGTACAAGTAATTTACAGGTTAACTGTGGTGTTCTCTTCAGTCTTGTGAAGAGAGAGCAATTTGGCTTTGGCTTTGGAGGCTTTTGCTCTGAGAAGTGCATGCTTTTTGCTAAATGTCTAATAATATTCACACATAGCAAATTCATGAATTTCTGGATCCCTGACTTGAAAGGATTTTTTCTTTTTTAGTTTGGGTTTTTGTTTTGTTCGTTTTGTTTTGTGAAGTGAGAGGTGCGAAGTGATGTTTGTAGGACATAATGGAACAATTCTTCACAGCAGGGATGGTTGAACAGTGAAAAAGGCTGTCCAAAGACACTGGGAGATCTTGAAAGTTTTCCAAAACTCAGGTGGCCAAAGCCCTGATGGCACCTGCAGTTTGGCTCTTTAAGGGAAGGTCAGACCAGGTGACTTTACAGGCTCTTTCTAGTTGAGTTATTTTATGATGTGTTTTGTGACATCGTGGAGAATTGCTAATTTGGTATGTCTCCTACATGGGAGAAAAAACCCAAGCTAAATAAATGTTTTTACATGGATTTAGCTGCGCAGACATTTATATTCTTTATTCCCAAACATGAGAAAAAAATTATTGGAAGATAATCCTTTCTTCTGTGTCTGAATCATCTTTGGAAAAAGAGCAGTAAAATCCACCAGAGACTGAAAATTATATGATAACCATTTCAGAAATTTTTACTGTCACTTGTTGCTCCAGAAAATTTGGTATAGTAAGAAATCTGGAATCGTTGCTGTTAAATAGGAAAGCCTTTGAATTTGCCAGCGACCATCTTTTAGTGTGACGATGTTTGAAAATACCGCTTTATGGATACACAGTATAATTTCTATTTGGCAAGTCCAGCAGCAGAGGCTGACAAGGAGGGAAACTGAGCATTTTGGCGTTTCCAGGTGTGTGCATTGCGGAGGGGAGGGTGCGATCGCGGGGAATGAATTTGGGGCGAGTTGGGGCGGGTTCGGGTCGGAGCTGGCCCGGGGCCGCTCCCTGGGGCTCGGGCTCCCCCGCGTGGCCGTGGCCGGGATCGGCGCGCCCGGCGGGGAAAGCCGCGGCTCGGAGCTCCGCGCAGCCTTCGCCTGTGGTTTGTGCGCTGCTTTCAAAATGCTGGCACATCGGAGCGCGTGCGTTGCTTTAAAACACTTCAGTTTTTCGAGATTTGTGGTTTACAGCTATCATCTGATGTACTTGAAGCTGACACTGAGGGGTTTTATGCTGTAGGTTGTTGCATTACGTCCGGCAAATAAAAAAGAAGAAAATATATGTCTGAAACTTTGGAAGCTAGGCAGAAAGGCCACACCTGGATCCAGTGTAAACACACTTAGCTAATTAATGTGCTGAACTAACTAGTTCTAACTAACTGCCCAGAACTAGTTCTGACAGCAGTGTTCCCTTGTGCTGCTTTTGGGTACAACCACCAGGTGGGGGTAAAACGTAATGAAACTGCCATGAATAAGAAAAATGGGAAATTGCTTAGGGTCTAATCTGTTTGCCGAAGACTAAGAAATTTTTAATTTCTGTGTTTTATTATTTTATGGGGGATAGTCTTAGGTCACTACAAATGCAAATGAAAAAAAATTCTAATTGACTGCTTAAAGCTTTTCTATATGTTGATGTCAAGTGTCTTATGAAATTTTATGATGCAGTCAGTATAGTAGAAAATAATTATTTTTCTGTGTCTATTTTATTTTGACTTCTGAACTATCAAATTAGGATGAGAAATAGAGAAGATCCTTACTTTGAGGGAAATGCATGTGTCTGTCAGCAGCAGAACAGCACTGCCTTTGTCTTTCCTGATTTTATGTGCATATTGTAACGCTGTAGTTTAATATTCTGTAAATGTGTTTCCTGTATGCAACTAATGTGTAAATTTATGGATTTTAACTTTTTAAAAATCACCCTGAATGTGCACCAGTCTCCTCTCCCTTAAAATGCTCAATATTCTCTGCAGCTCCTAAGCAATGTTTTCTGTTGTAAAATACTCATGTAACAGAGCTGCTGAAATTAGGATAAGCAGGTATTCAGCTTTGCATTAGGTAACTGTAACTGAATGCACTCTGTCTTCAGTTAGAGAAAACTGCTGAAATAAGACTCCTACCCCCATCAAGTTGTATTTCTACTCTTCCTCTGGTGTGTTTTCTAGGGGGGGAAAGAAAAAAAAAGTGCAGACTGCTGGAGTTAATGTCCCCTTGTAAGGGCTGTTAATGACATTCCTGCTGATGTTGCTATGCCTGAATGTTTCTCGAATGGTAACAGGAGCTTCCTGGCAAAGCAAATTCAAAAGGAAAAATCCCCCTCTTTGTTAACTGGAGTTTAGCCACCTTTAGGCACTCTGTTTTCTTTAGCAAATGAGTGTTATATTTCATGCATCTTTTGGAATTTTCTTGTTTTGTTTTCTGTAGCCTGTTTGGCTGAGTTTGGTTGCTGGTGTCCTGCTGCTGTCAATTGCTGGAGTTCACTTGGCCTCCTGTTCCCCTCCAACTTTTATTTCTCCTTCAAGTTTGAATGCTGTCATTTGAGAAAAAAGGAACTATATGGTAGAAGCATTTTTTGAGAGGGTATAGGCAAAAATCACTGCTAAGTTTTTAACACTTGCATCTAATGAAGAAATTTCTCTTGATAATGAATATCCCTGACATCCAGTAAATGTCTTTTTCCTTCCCTATTCTTTACAAAATGGCAAGTTTCAAAGAGGAAAAGGAATAAGCCTGTACATGGGAAGAAGGAAACAAACAAGGCTGTTAATTTTTTTTTTTTTATCATGGGGAAATAGTAGTTTTTGAGTGATATTCAGGTGATACAACACGGTCCTGCAGAATTGTGAAAATGTGTGGTGTGGGGAAGGAAAGCTGTTTTTCTCTACAGACTTTTTTTTTTTTTAAGGATGCAGAACACGTGACAGTAGTTAGACCTGTTAGCTACTAAATTGCAGATAAGCTTCTGCTTTTATAAAGCATAAACACTGCATCCTCCACAACTTTTGATAGGATGATTGATGATGGATTCATGTTTAGGCACCAGAAACTGGCTGTTCAGAGTGTTCAACTTAGAAAAATCTTAATAGAGCAGATAGTCTAACAGAGATTAGTTATCACTTTAGCTTGTTTTCTAAACCCTTTCTCTTCCTGCAGATGTCACATGTGTCTTACAGATGTCCTTGTTGTAGTGAGTTGTTGATTTTTCACATAGGTCACAGAATGGTTGAGTTTGGAAGGGCCTCTGGAAATAACCTGCTCCAGGCAGGGTCAGTCAGAGAAGCTGCTCAAGGCACTCCACTTTCAGGTTTGAGTGTGTTGAAGGATGGAGATCACAAAACCTGTGGTCAATCTGTTGCACTGCTTGAGTACAGTGGCAGTGGAAAATGTTTGGGATTTTTAGTTTATTTGGTATTTTCTTTTCTTTTATGAGTAAGTAGATTTTCCAGTTTTTCAGTTCATGCTCATGCCCTCTCCTCAGTTTAGTGGATACCACTGTGAAGATCTGACCCTGCTTTCCTTCCTTCCTCCCTCATCAGATATTTATATACGTGGATAAAATCTCCCTAAGTCCTCTCTTCTCTGCTCTCTGTTCATTTGCCTGTTGAGGTTCATCAGAGTTGCAGGACACTGTTCCCCATTCTGTCCCTTGAGCAGGTTTGCTGGGGATGTGCCCTCTCCCATCACCCAGCTCAGTGGTGAAGGTGTTTAACCCACATCAGCCCCCTAGGGTGTCCATAGCATTGGTGACACAACCCTGGGAGCCCAGAAGCTCAGCCACTGTTCAGTCCACCTCAGAGTCCACTTACCTTGCCCATACCTCATTAATTAAGCTATGAGGGGGTTCATGAGAGATGATGTTGAAAGCCTTACAAAATTGAGATGAAAATATTTGCTGCTCTTGTTTTGCCTACTGAGCCAGTCATCCCATTGTGGAAGGCTGCTGTTACCATGATTTCTTCTGATTTGGAGGTGATGATGGCATTTGTACTCCACATGTTGAAATCCATGGTTTGCTTGGAGAAATATGGGAGAAAGGGAGTATACAGAGCTGGATTTTGTGAGGTTCTCTGAGAGTAGTAAAATACCTTTGTCCTGAGAACTTCTGCAGTGCTTCTCTAAAGAGCCTTCAATGAGTACACCTGAGCTTGCAGTCTGTCTCCCAAGGTTTCAGACATTTGCTGTTGAAAGGTAAGTTGTATCCAGCTTTTGTTTGAAGATCATGATGCAGGGAAATGGATATTTTCAGCAGTGACCTGTAAATAACTATATCCATAATCCGCTGGCACTTGTACCTACATTACATTGTTATATGTGAAAGAGGAAAATGTAATATACTTAACTGTGGAACTTATAAGGTAAACTTTTTGTTTCTTGCAGGTTTGTGGAATCTTGCCTCTCTTTTTTCAAATCTATGTTTATTTGTGTTGATGCCCTTCGCATTTTTCTTCCTGGAATCAGAAGGATTTGCTGGCTTAAAAAAGGTAGGAAAACACTATTAAATACAGAGTAATTGCAGTGTACACTTCATTTTCAGCCCTTGCTTCTGATGAAACTGAAATTGCAGATGGGGAGAATTTGGTGCTGGCATGTGTGTGCTGATGTGAAGGTTGTATACAGCTGCACACTCTGGCATGGGCCAGGTATGCAGGGGGAAAAAGGACTCCTTAAAAGCCTTGTGTACTGAAATGAAGAAAATTACATTAAAAAAAAAAAAAGAAGTTATTCAATCAAGATTTTGTTTTTTGAAGATGTTTCTGTGGGGATGTTAAAAGGGAGAGAAGGTTCAAGAATTGCACTAGAAATAAAATAATAAGGAAAAGGACAGTTTTTTTTGCTAATGGGAAGAGTGGTTAAATAACAGATGACCATGTGAATACAAGCCTGATTTGTGAATTTTAAAGATTACAGACATCTCAAAAAAGGTTCAAATATGGTCAATATTAACAATAATATAGTAAAAAACATGTCTTAAAATATTCATCTTAGTTCAATATATTCAGGATGAGAGGGCTGAATATTTCTGTGAAGCAGGGAACTTGGCAAAGCAATTTTTGAACAATAAGATGATAATGATTATAATAATATGTGAACTAAAGAAATACAGTGAAAAATTACTATAGTGGGAGGCACATCAAAATTAATTTCAAATCATAAATATCAAAGAGATTAAACTGGAATGAGTGTCTGGGGACCAATTGTAGCAGTTTTCCATTAATCTTTATCATCCACATGATTACACTTTTGTTTTTAATGATACTACACTTGAGGGAATTCTGCTCCCTTTGGATGACAATTGTCAGAAAGCAAAGGGTCTTGGAAAGTGATCTTGAAATCTGGAGAATTAAAATCAATTAAAGATGGATGCAAAAGACTATGAGTCACTGAAGTATGGCATGTCATGTAAAGCCATTAAGGAGTAATTGTGTTTGGAAGGAAAACATCATTCCTGCTTGCATTGGCAGGAGCTGGCATGAAGGCAATGAAGTTACCATTTTGGTTCTTGGTGGGATTAGGGAAAACTCAACGGAAGTGTTGCATTCCAGTTGGGATTTTTGGACTCACTTGAAAAGAAACAGAGGACAGCAAAACAAATGAAAAACAACTTAGGAACTAATGTGTGAAGGAAAATTTTAATTCAGAGAGAGTAATGTGGAGAAACAGACTTTATTCCCCAGCAGAAGGTACTGGTGGATTACAGCCATGCAGCTGTGTTGGAAAACACCTGCAGGGCCTGGCCCAGGTGGTGTGTGAATGTTGTCTGGTGTCACCTGGGCTGAGCTGATGCTGCTGCAGCATTGCTGTGCACTGACCAAGCTGCAGAAGTAGCCAGGTCACTTCAGTTACGAGTTTGAGTGACCAGACTAATGCATTCAGCTTCCAGGGAGTTTGGTGGTGGGCTGCTGTGTTTAACTGATCCATCTTGGCTGGAAAACACTTTCTGTTCTTCTTCATTCACTTCGGGTATCTACAGGGCTGAGAGGTTTTAGCAACTCCGCCTTTCCAGTTTTCGTGTGGAGGCCACTCCACTTTCCTTTTGACACTTGAGTATCTAGCCACAGCTAATATTTATCTTTTCTTCTTAAAAATATGTTAACTGATTTCATTGGGGTTTGTGTTTCCTGCAATCCAACAAAACCAAGGATTCTCTCCATTAGCATATACTGGGTAAGGTCCTTCTGCTGGTAGAGTTCTGTTGGCTCCAACAGATGCTTTGTGTATCCCAGCTACATGAAACTTGCACTTTACAGGAAACTTTTAATAGTTCATGTGCTGCTTTCTTATGGGAGTGGCTATCAATAAACCCCATTCAAGATCAATAAGATCACCATTGCACATTTATGCTTGAAAGCATTTGTGAGATAAGATGGGTAAGACAGAACCATAATCTTCTGCAGATGCCAGGGAAAAGATGACTTTTGGTGCTTTGAGGTTTGCTTCTTCATGGGGGCAGATGACATCAGATTTTAGTATCAAAACCCACGTATTGGAGGGGAGGAAATTCCATTTTGTATTTTTTTATTTTTTATTTTTTTACTTTGAGTTCTGGATGTTTTTGGAACATCCCAGAAGCCAAGTGTGGTTCCTGGTACAAATACTCCAGGATTTCATGCAATGTCTGTTCTATCTCACTGCTCTGTTTAAATTTATCCAAAATGGATGGAATTGTTTTGCCATTTTGAAGTGAGCCTTGAAGCTGCTGGTCAAGATTGAGGCGTTGTTGGATGTTGTAATATGAACATACCTTGTCTTTGATTGCTTTTCTTGGAGAGTAAGTGGCAGATGGCACTCTGGACTAAGGCGGTAGTTAAATTTAATGTGCTGTTCTTTTCAGATGCTGATGTAGATAAAAGGGTTCTTCTTGTGATTGTTGCTAGATATGTTTTAAAGAATTACATCACATAATTGGGTGATTAGAATCTGGAAAAATTCATTATTAATCAAACTCATGATTGCATGTAAGGTTTTCAGTTCTGGCATCTGTGAAGGAAAGGTATTTCCCATCAAGTTTTACTTTCAGTAGATTTTTGTCATGTTTGTTACCTCTTTTCCAAGAAGATTTTGAGACCATGATTGCTTTATAGAAAGTTGGTATTTGAACAAATTTTTTTGTGTGTTAATTAAAAAAAAAAAAAAAAAAGTCGTATTTTGTCATTCATTGCATCAAAGTAATGGACCAGGGAGATAAAACATTGTTCAAATGCTATTACTGTTCATGGGAAAAAATCAGATTTTGGTGATCTCAGTTTAAAAGAACATTTCATACATTTGGCAAAACTTAGAGCATTTAAGAGAAGAATGATCTACTGTAAATGTGAAGACATTCAGTAAAGAGGTTTGGCATGGATCTTTAATCTTTCAGTTGGGAGTTGGGAAAGCAGTTGGTTCTAGATACCCAGCTCAGATCCAGTGGAAGCTTTTATGCAGGTCATTTTGTTATTGAATTGCTTCATCATAATGATTAAATAGGTCACTTGGGATATAGGTGTGTGCACTGAAGATGTCTATTTGAAGGTCTTAATATATCAATTACTTGTTGGACTTCCATAAAAGTTTTCCAAGTGCATAATTAAAAGAGGTTCATTCCTGAAATGGAAATGACTTTTTCATTTTTTAATGGATGTCTTTGCTCAGATTAAATAGCAACAGTAATTTTAGTCATTATCACGTGTGGGTCTGACTCCTGAAGATTTTAGCCATCTGTTTATCACAGACTGTGCTATAAAAGTTGATTGTATGTATTGACTGTAATGTGATTTATTTCTTTTTTTTCAAGCTCTGATATTTGAGATAGTTCATAAATTACTGTTGTGAGCTTTGTACAACTTTTCATTCCATGTTCCTGAGTGGTAGCATTGCTCCCTTAACTGTTCTGAGTCAGAATGGGCTTGATTAACCATCTTCCAATTTGCCATGGCCGTTTTCCTTGGCTGCTGGTTTACTTTCTAGATGGCACATGGCCCCTTTTAGAGGCTCTCTTGGCTTCCCCAGGGCAGCAGTTTAAAACAACCAAGGGCTTGCATATTGTGCAGAAGAGAGAAATAGGGAAATGAGTCACTGGCCATGGATGGATGCAGTGCTGCACTCGAGCTCAGACTGATTCTCTGCTAGTTTTTCATGAAATCCATTGTGAGAATTCAGAAGGGGCATTTTGGGCCTGAGGGGGCTGACCAGGCCCTTCTAAAGAGCTTAAATGCTGGTCTTTGCTCTTGTTCATTTCCATTGAATGGCACTTGAACAATTCTGATGTCAGAACAATAATAATATTATTATATATAAAAATATATTAGTAATAATCTAGCCAATACTGGGGCTGTATAATATACATGTGTATATATCTTTATATATATGTGTATATGTATTTGTATGTCTTTGTGTATCTGCCATGTGTGTGTGTGCACACACATTTTTGTGTGCACGTGTGGATTGGAATTTTCAAGACTTTGAATCGTAATACATTGCAGCTTAGCCAGTGCTGTTAACTGAGCTGTTGGTGTACCTGATACCACTTTAATCTCTTGCATCAGTATTAAAAAACTGTTTTACATCTTTCTCTGTTCTTGTCTTCTTTTGTAGAGACTGTGCATAAAGTTATGCTTCTTGTTTAGATAATCTTTTAGTTCTTTGTTACTGATGTGCTCAGATTGTAGTTATGAAACAAAGTTGCCAACAGTGTTTCTTAATGCAGAATTAACTTCATTCTTTATCATTCCCTCCAAAAAAGAAAAATTGTGCTATTTGCATTTGAGTAGGTTACAGTGCTGATGTTTCGATGTGCACAGACTGCACAGAAAATTACATGTGTGCTGCTGTGTGAAGGAGGCAAACATTTTTGAGGAGATAATTGCCATACCTTTTCTTGACCTTTAAAATATTGACCTTTCTCTTGATGTAACTTCAATGGAAATTTGTATTTATTTGAAGTTGACAAAGAGAAGGATGTTTTGGAGTAATTTCCTTTTAAGAAAATACAAATAGTGCAATTTACTACTGCAAGAAAACTGGAAAAACTAGGTATTGCATAATCACAAGTGTAGTTTTAAAAAGGCTTTATGAAGTATATTACCTTAATACTGATCTTTGAACTTGTAGTCATAGCATAAAGTTTAACATGAGCGACAGCAACATCCTGACCAATTATCCAAATTATCCAGACATCCCAAAATGTTCAGAACACAACACACAGAGTCTGTGGATTAAGAGGTTAACTCCTGGAACATCAAAAGAAGTGCATGATAATAAAAACAAATAGTACAAAAATTTGAGGTAACTTCCTTGCTTAATTAATTAGGTGGACCAGGTGGAAGCGAAGAGGCCAGAGCTGGTGCTCAGAATGTCTATAAAGCTGAGCAACATGACAGCACAATGGAGGAGGAACAAAGATTTTTTTAATATACTTCTATCCTGTGTCACAGTTTGAAATTGTCCTGGTTTATGTCCCTTTTGGCAAACTTACATAAAAGTGACCCTGTACTGTATTTTA